TGCAGCAGGTCTTCATTAGGTGTGTTAAAGCATTTTCAATGTAATTATGGTTTAAACTCGATCCCATCTACAAGCTTACAGACAGGCAAATCTCTCTCTGTTCCTCAGTTTTATTTGCTTTTCTTGTATTTCTTGCAGAGTGTTCTGTTGACAGCACAAGGCCTCTAAACAAGCTGTGATGCTGGCAGTCACTGAAGGTGTTTGTTTGAATTAAATCTTCATCAGGACGTTGTGTGATTAGACTGTTTTTGAGTCAGGCAAAATGAAATATATGGTTCTTCAGCCACAAGAGGGCACTCTTCACAACTGAACTTATGCAAGCAAATAAAAGGTCACACAAAAATTTAAATTCTGTCATCATTTACTCACCTTTCTCATGTTGTTCAGCATTAAACTGCATAACTTTCTTTTTTTCTTTGGAACATATAGGAAGATATTTTAAGAAATCTCTGTATTTTTGGGGTAAATGCACACCATTGCACGGATATTAATATTCTGTCTGATACAGAAGCTAATAATTATCTTCTAATAACCAATAAATTATTACTTATATATTATTTAATAAATATTTATAATATACGAGAAATAATATAATATGATTTAACTAATACTGTATTTATTATATCAATTCAACATTATTTTCTCCAAATAAAGTCAAAATTAAAAACAAAATTAAAAAAAAAAACAAAATCAATCATTTTAAATATTACAATTGAATCTTTTACTTTTTCATTTTCTTTTTTTTTTTTCTGTGGAATATAAAAATATATTTTGATAATTTTTTTGTCCATACAATGGAAGTCAAGTCAAGTGTTGTTTTGGTCTGTGTGTTCTGCAGAAATCAACTTGCAGATTTGGATAAGTTTGAAAATAGAGATGAGTAAATGATGATAGAATTTAAATTTTGGGGTGTACTGTCTTTTTAATAACAGAGAACAGACTGCACATGTATCTGCTTTGTGTGAACCATCAGCTACACTTTACTGTATGTTGTTTACTTTGTTTACTTAATGTTTTTGTATGATAGCTCATTTAGCAATGTGTCTGCTGATATCCTATGAGACTTCCTCATGAAGATTAGCATGCTAGCGCATGGATGCTCCAGCAGGGTTTTGAAAAGTTATTTAGTGTTAAGATATGCTTTAATGGATTGCTGGGGATTGGTTTCTTACAGAGCAGGAAATGGACAGAGGTTTTCAGCACTATTAATTTGACCGCACTGTGTTTTGCCAAAGCCTCAAGGCTGGAACACATTTTTGGGGGTGAACGCAAAGCGTTCTGTTCTGTGCGTCTGTGTGTTTGCGCTTTCTGGATCTTGTTGTCATGGCCTGCTTTGAACCATGGATATTAAACTGTTGAGGCACATGCACACACAGTTTTGCCAAATAGGGTCTGTCTTTGTTTTCTCAAAGTGGATAGAGTTGATATGAATGAGAGATATTTACCATACTGCAATGTATATATGAATCAGTCTGTGTGTGTGTGTGATATATTTAATATATATTTACAAGTTATATTTATATATTATGTCTAATTAAAATGCTTTTGAAACATAATTTACTTTTTTTTCATAAAATAAAAAAGTTATTAATTTGACGAAGAATATATTTAAATATATAAAAAGGAAATGTGTGTGTGTGTGTGTGTGAGTATATATATATATGTATATACATAGAGAGATTTTTTAAAATTATTATATTATTTTATATTTATATAACTAAACTTTAAATTCATTAAGTTAACACATCTGAAGGCTTAAAAATAGGAGAAATAAGTAGAAAGTGAGTAGAAGTACTAGTAGAAGTAAATACAGTGAAAACCGTGCTTGTGTGCTTATAATATATTTTAGGACTTTGTAACATAATTTTTGGGAACTGTTTTTCAGTTTACGTTCTGTGTTCTCTCTCTCTGTGTGTGTGTGTGTGTGTGTGTGTGTAGGTGGGGGGTCATTACGGTGTAGTGTGTCCTCTCACTACGCTAGGCTCACAGCATCAACCTGAGACCAGATACAGTTAATTATCTACCAGCACACACACACACACACACACACACACACACACACACACACACACACACACACACACAGACAAGGGTGCATGAACTAACCAGACTGACAGAAGAACCTTCCGTTGGACAGAAAAGAGACAGTCTAGATGAAAAAGACATAAAGCGAGGTAGATCTGAGGCTAGAGACAAGTAGAAGACAGATACCTGGTCCCAATACACGGCATGTGATTGTGGATCAGCATCTGCACTAAAGAAAAACGCACGAGAGGAGCGAAGAATGGATATTCTCTTTCTTGACAGGACAGACAAACACCAACAGCAAAAGAAGAACCAATGAGACCAGCCTCCATCACACATGCCCTTCCTCTCTTGCCAACCTGTCTTCCTCCATCCTCTACCTGTCCGCTCGGTGTCGTCCTTTGGATCTGCTAGCAGACGGGCATTACTGGCATCATGCCTGCTGTGTTGAAGTCTTCTCTGGATGGGAGCATGACAGATTCGGGGGAGCTGGAGCAGGCGGCAACCCCCTGCTTTGGAAAAGTGCCCTGTGACCTGCTCCAAAACTTCCCTCACACTAAGCGTGTGGGCAGCTACCTGGTGGGCAAAATGATCAACAAGGGCTCATTCGCCAAGGTTATGCTAGGCATGCACATCAGTACAGGAGAGAAGGTAACAAGCACACACCCAGTCTCTTACACGCAGACGCTTGTCAATCAAAGGCGCACTAAGGGTGTCAGTCATCGGTGCGCTGAAGGGTTGTCATCCATTTTTCATGCTGTCTCGCTCTCTCAGCTTTCATAGCAACTCCGTCTTGGCTAATCTCTGACACGCACCGCAGTAATAATCCATCCACACGAACACACTCAAACTGTTAGAGACATTTATTAATACAAAAGGCACTTTATGTTTGGGGGAGGAGGAGGGGTGATCATGAATTGTGCGTTGTGTGGCTGTTGATGTTTTGATGTTGACTCAGTAGTGTTTCATTATTCATTTTGTTCATGTAATGGATCTGATGAATTTTTAGCATACTAAATAGTGTGTATTTTGTCTGCAGACTTCGATGGTGAGTTTTAACTTAATGTTCTTAATGTTTATAATAGATAATGATTTGTAATGGTGCTTTAGATTGTCATTATTTCAGTGATTTGCTTTTAGGGCCTGTGGAAATAGTACTTTACAGTTATTTGCTGTAAAATGTTTCATATGCGCCTACATCAGCGTTGTTAGAACATGAGTGAAAAGTCATGGTTACATTTTGTCATGGTATTTTAGTTAAATCATGTAAATGTAATTGACTATATTTTGTGTATACATTAATTTTTTTTTTTTTTTTTACATATAAATTACATTATTTATGTATTTATTTATAAATGTATTCGTGTTTATTTATGAATACATACATTATATTGCCTATATATTATATATATTATATTACATTATAATATCAATACAGAGTATTTGCTATGAGATGGCTAAAAAAATAATGTATGTGTGTGGGATTACTTAGCTGTAGTTTGGGCATAAATTTTGGATTTAATATATTATAATTTAGAATTTAATATAATTTATATTGGATTTAATAAATAATGTATATAAATTAATACAATTATTATTAATATTAAACAAAATAAAAATAATTTAAAAAACTTAGTTCACATTAAATTTAATACATTTGTTAATATCTTTAATTAATTTATTTAACTTCTTTTTTTTTTTCTCGTATCTCTTAAGTCAGTATCAATATAGAATGTCTAATAGATGCCTAAAAATATTCTGGGGAAATTGGAAAACTTCTGGGTTCATCGTGACGCAGACAAACAGAGAGAGAGAGAGTTTTAGCTCAACCTGTCTTCCTCTTCTCACTGTGGTGACCTGAGCTTTCATGGGTCAGTAATTGTGGCTGGTGTGTGTGTGTGTGTTACCAGCTCTTATACACATCACTAAGCCCTTCCTGACCACTCTGTTTTCCTGAACAGGTTGCTATGGTGACACGTAAGCACACATCACCCAAGCTCAATCCTAGAATTTGAGGTTGTAAATTATTATCATGGAGATCCTAAAGAGATGGACTTTGAGCTATAGTTTTAAACACAGCAAACTAAACTAAATCAGTTTTAATATAATATACTAAATACTATGGACGTTTTCTTTGGACAATAATGTCCCATAGAAAATAAAAATCAAGTGAAATCTCTTAAATCTCTTTTTTTCTCCTAGACAGCAATGAGATTAATAAATCTCATGTGTCACCTTTTGTCAACAATTATCTTGTTTGTGTCTGTATTTATTTTTTTCTAGGAAATTTTAGGAGAAACAGCTGTGGAAAAGTTAAATGAAAGATTTCTTATTGAATACTTTCAAGACTAAATCATCCATATTCATTTTAGCTCTATCAGCTTACTGTGTATCTTCATTTTTTCTAATAAATGTTAAGAGAAACATACGAGACAAAGTTGATAATAAAATGAAGCATAATGACTCTGTTTCTGTCACTGTCAGGTGGCGATCAAGGTGATAGATAAGAAAAAGGCTCGTCAGGATTCATACATTTTAAAAAACATGAAGCGCGAACCCCGGATTCACCAGCTGATCCGCCACCCGAACATCGTCTTGCTGCTGGAGACGCTGGAGACAGAGAACTGCTACTACATGGCCATGGAGCTATGCGGAGGAGGAGACCTTATGGATCGAATCTGTGAACGCAAACGGCTGGAGGAGAGAGAGGTTTGCAGATACACCCGTCAGATACTGTCTGCAGTGGAACACCTGCATCGACACGGGATAGTTCACAGGTAATGAATGGATATTCTTGCACAATGACACAATTGGACCCACAAAAATGAAGTTTTGAGATCATATGGTTTGTAAGGGATGTAGGGATATAGTGGGGTAGAACGAGAAAAAAAGAGAAAGGAAAACGCTGAGAGGGTGCTAAGCTGTATAGCGGACACTAGTTATAAGAGCCTTAAAATAATGAAGTGCAGTGTCATAGATGAGAGAAGTGTGTGTGAAAATGAATGAAATCAAAGAGCAAGTATGTGTGTGTTGATTTATTTGGCTGTAGTGTGGGGAGAAGATTTTTCGAATTAAAAAACAACAACAATTTTCCAATAAATAAATACAAACTATTAAATATGATTAATAAAACTACATTTTCTTTAGCATCTTATTAATAATAAGAAGAAATTTGTTAATACTTTTAAGTTTTAGAATCTTATGTAATTTATTTATACAATTACTTTTCTCGATGTAAAATGTATAAAAATATCTACAATTATAAAAGTAAAAAAGTGCATACATTTATTAAATTTATTTAAGGCATTTTAAAATGTTTAATAAATGAGTTGTTTATTCATTAGTTCATCAATAAATACATTTTCGTCTTTTAGTGTTAGAGTTAGTCTGTAGTATTTATAATTAGATTCACATGCACATAGAAAAACATAGAAAATAAAAACAAGTGCTGTATAGCATACATGAGAAAAGTGTATCTGAAAATGGTTTTGAAATCAAAGAGCAAGTGTGTGTGTGTGTGTGTGGGTTTACTTGGCTATAATTTGGGGAAACATTTTAAATTGAATACATTAAAGATTATTAATACAATTAATTATTAATAATCAGGATTATAATAAACATTATTTTTCCAGTTCAAATTAAATGTGATTCATTTGTTAATATTTGTAATTTTGGAATTTTATATTATTATAATTCTACATAATTTATATAAAATTACTATCCTGATAATATATAAATGCATTTTTTAAATTTTTATTATACATTTAACATCACATTTTCTTTTTTAGGGGTAGGTTTAGAGTTAGTCTGTAGTAGTATAATTAGATTAATGTATGAATATAAACAATTATATAATATAAAAATGATAGAAGTCTATGGTGTGTGTGTGTGTAGTTCTTTAGTCTGGCAGTGAAGCCTAACTGAGGCAAGAGTGGGAATGCCATTAGCTTCTCATGACATCATCAGCCAGAGCCACTATGGTTAACACATCATTCATGACTTCCTTACTAATGGAGTCCCAGGATAAAGCTTCATAATGCTGAGGTCTGTCACACACAATCCACTCAGTAAAGGGCCTTCGTTAGAATATGTCAAGGATCAAAGGATGTTCATCAGCCTACACATAGCCTACATACACACACACTTGACTACCCGTGGGGTTAGGCAGCATACACAGTCCCTATGGTAACGAAGGGAGTGTGTGGTTTCAGTTCAAAAGTTCACCCACTTCGAATGACATTAATCAACCCAAATCAAACTATTTTATCAACTGGCTCCACAAACACTCACTTTATGCCTTTGAGTCTGTCTCTGCTGACCTCGCTGTTCGATACACATTAATAATACCCCAAAAACCCAGTCACGCTGCTGGACAGCAGTCCAGTTTTCCCCTTAAACATGTCATGTCTGTCAGAGAACTTTAATACGGGCATATTTGAAGTAGTTTTTCAACTTTTCTTTGTACTTTGGACATTTTAGGGACAGCGTCTGTATGAGTGTGTGTGAGTTGAGGAACATTTGGCCGCCCATTGGGCTTTGAGATGTCAGCCTTCTCAGTAAAAATGGAGAGAAATGAAAATAACTTAGAGGGCTATGATGTTTTTATAGGCTTTTCATACAATTTCATATTAAAAGTGAGGAGCGTGCGGTCGTCAAAGTGAGTGTGAGTGTTTATTATGAAGTGGAAAGAAAGGGAGAAGGCGGGAGTAAGATAAAAGGAAAAAGAGAGAGGAGAGTGTAAAAGTAAAACTTGGCAGAATGACTGAACTTCCAGGACCACCAAGCAGTGATATCACCACCAACAATAACTCTCGTAGCTCTGTTTTTTAATACAAATCTCCTTTTAATTCACATTTTTTCATTACATTTTGTGTGCTGCTAGAGGTTCTTGGCTGGTCATGAATTCCCGCACATGGAGTGAGGTGATCTGAGTTCCCTATCAGCTGGACGCATACGGGTGTTTGTATATATGTACAGTATATATGAACAGTAGGGTCCCAAAGTCTGAGACCACTAGTAAAAATGCTTTTATTTTGCATTCTTTTTTTCTAGTTTAATACATTATATTACCATTATTAAAAGTCTAAGTAAAAGTTGGTGCAAAGAGCATCTTGTGCTTCAATGGAAGGCAGCGTTGTTATTGTTAACTAAAGCAACAAAAAATTGTTTTCAGTAATCTAAATACAGCTGAAATAAAATAAAAATATTAGTTGAAAAACTTAAAACACCTAAATGAAAATTAAAAATGTTGCCTTGGCAACTGACTGCAAGTACTAACATTACTAAAACTGAAATTTAAACAAAAATAAAGCTAAATATACTAATAAAAATGTCAAAAGCACATAACACAAATTACAAAACCTAAACTAACATTAAAATGGTCCCCAATGTGTGTTATTTTTTTTAACTAACCTCCTTCACCTTTTTTTAACTAGGGACTTGAAGATTGAGAACTTACTAATGGATGAGCTCAACAACATTAAGATAGTAGGTGAGTGTGTCTTGCCATTTGACCTTTTTACATAGTGTGTAAATGTACATCATTTATTCTGAGGAAAGTTTTTGTCAAAGCTTTCCTACTGTAATACATTAATAGTTTGACCTTTGACCTCTGAGAATAACCAACCGTTATGGTTGCAGTAGTGTAAACAAATGCACAGGAAGCACATCTCATTTACAGTTGGTCATCTTGCAAATGCTTTTATCCAAAGCCACTTCCAAATGAGGAATATAACTACTCATGAAATGCTCATAATTGCTTTAATGAGACGGAATGAGTCAGTTCCATGGTTCTCTGTCTCCTTCATCCTTGTATTCATGTATTTCATTTTGGGCTTCTGAAATCTGTATGATTTATATATTATTCTTAAATGCCTAATTTCCGATACGTCTAAGAAAGAAAAAATAAACTGATAAGTAGTCTGCTATTTAAAGTTTCTGTATCAGAAACTAAAGACAGTTGTATGTGCTTGTATGTTCATGTGAGTATTGTACACTAACATATAAGTGTGTTTGTGTGCAGACTTTGGACTGAGTAACACTCTGAAGGCAGATTCTCTCTCTCTGGAGCTGCTGAACACTCAGTGTGGCAGTCCTGCTTACGCGGCTCCTGAACTGCTGGCCCACAGGAAGTATGGCCCTAAAGTGGATGTGTGGTCTGTGTGAGTACACAAAGTACATGTATATGTATGTAGTTTACGTCAACTTTTTTATTGAAGATGGGTGTAATGTTTTTAAATGCTGGCTATTGATGAAGATTGTGTGTGTGTTTCTGTGTGTATGTGTAGGGGTGTGAGTATGTTTGCCATGTTGACTGGCACTCTACCGTTTACGGTGGAGCCCTTCAATATCAAGCAACTTCATCAGAAAATGGTTAATGGAGAAATCAGTCCGATACCATCGGACATCAGCAAAGGTAAAGTATACACACACTTTCCATTGACTTTCTAAAGACTTTTATTTATTTTTGTTTTTGATCTAACCCTCACAGAAACATTTTTGCATTTTTACATTTTCATTAAAACATTATTTAATATGTTTATTAAGCAGTTTTCTTCATGTGGGCAATATATAATATATATTATATACACATATATAATATATATATACATGCTCTACCATTCAAAAGTAGTAAGATTTATGTTTTTTTTTAAGAAATTAGCCTTTTATTTAGCAAGAATGCAATAAATGGATCAATATTCACAGTAAGACTATATAATTGTATTTTATATATAATTCTAAATACAATATAAAATATTTTAAATATATTATATATTTTATATAATAAACTATTTCTTATTATATAATATATAATTATATTTTTTATTTATATTTTAAATAAATAGTTTTTACTGTATTTTTGATTAAATAAATGCCGCCTTGGTGAGCAGTGAGCATAAGAAACTTCTTTCAAAAACATTTTAAAAATCTTACTGACCCCACACATATTCATACGCCTGAAGATTTATTCCTAAAGGGTTCTACATCAAGATGAGATACAAAGAGAGAGAGAATGAGAAAAGAGAACGAGAGATAAATGGTGTTGAGTGCAGTGGTGCATTTTAAAGTGTCCTTCTTCTCAATCAGATTGTGAGATCATCTGATCCAGCACATTAATATTAACTATCATGAATATTAATAACAGAGTATATTCACCAGTTGCAAAAATAGATGCACTACAAACATGATGATGCAAAATGTCTGCTAGTGGAACAGAACCTGGCCAGGTTTCCCGATTCGGTTGCAGATTACATTAGGTCATTACGTAGTTTGTACATTACATATTGTGAATTACCGCCAGTTTCACTGAAGCAGTGCATACATTGTTTATTAAAAAGAAGTGAAGGAAGTATTTAATGGAACAGATGCAAGTGCATACAGCCCTACAGTATGTACTAAATTGTCATTTACTAATGTCACTTTGGATAATATCTGCTAAATCGACACCAATCCAAAAATGTGTTCCATATTATAGTGGATATCATTTAGCATAATAATTAATATTATAAATAAACTAATATTATTAGTAGACATAAGTAAACATAAATTGTAACACCTACATTAACTGGTTTTATTCAAGTCAAATAATATCATTTAACATCACTGAATCAACATAAATATATTAATCTATACCAAACATTTCAGTTTAATGTGTTAAATCAGGTAGAAAAAACTCTGTATGGTAACAGTTGAAGGTCACCATCATACAGTCATTGCTGTGGGTGAAGTATGGTAGAAATGATTTATCATAGAATGCCATTTTGTGTGTTTTGTTGGCATCCTGAGGCTGACTGTAATGGCACTCTTTATTGAATGAGTAAATGTGATCGTCACTGTCTTCTGACACAAACACTACCTTCACCTCGGTACACACACACACACACACACACACACACACACACACACACACACACACACAAGGCCAGTGCAGTGCCAAGCTGGCTCTCTGATCTGAGGAGTCTCCCCCAGGTTGAGAAGGTGGAACAGGGGAGCAAAGTGCTTCTTGAATCTGATCTGCCCTTCTGTAAGAGAAACCTGGAGAAGTTCAGTCTGGGTCGGACACACACACATACACTCACTCCTCTGACAAATCAGTGTTGAGATCTTCTGTGTAAGGTTAAAACAGAGTTTTGAGACTCCTTTAGCAGTGTCAAGATGTCAATGTTCTCGTTCTTTATTTCTCTCTAGCGGCTGTACAGTTTGTCTTGTCTCTGCTGGAGCCAGAACCAGCAAAAAGGCCAACAGTAAAAACAGCAATGGAGGATAAATGGTTGAATGAGGGATATGCCAAGAGACCCCTCCATACTGTCACTCATAAAAACAGGTACCTGTAAAATGAAATCTAATGGTAAAGCTACCCAAAGGAATAGACATAGAGATGGACAAAAATTCACAAACATTTTGAAAAAATCAATTCAGCATTTCTAATATCTGTTTTTGTGTGTGTTTTTTGTTGCTTTCTAGGCTGTGTCCTGAGGATCTGAATTCTGCTGTGTTAAACTACATGACGGAATCTCTAGGTTACGGTCTGACTGATATCATCCACACGGTCATCAGTAACAAGCCGTCAACCACTTTGGCTTGCTACCATCTCCTGCTGAAAAAACTCACCAGGCATCAGAAGGTAGTGAGGACCATGAAGGTAAAATCGTACATGCTTGATACATGTATAAATTTTTTTATGTTTTTGAAAGAATACTCTTATGCTCACCAAGGTTGCGTTTTTTTAATCAAAAATACAGTAATGACTATTATATTGTCAAATATTATTACAATTTTAAATATTTTAAAATATGATTTATTTCTGTAATGGCAAAGCTGATTTTTTTCATTACTCCAGTCTTCAGTGGAAACTGATGCATTTTTTTATTCAGGATTTTTTGATGAATAGAAAATTCAAAAGAACATTATAAATGTTTTTCCTGTCACTTTTGATAAATTTAATGTATCTGATGAATAAAAGGATTCATTTATTTCCCAAAAAATCGGTATCACATTGGATATAGGTCAATATTACAGTTTTTTTATACCTCTATTTACATTCACGTTACATTAGCTGTGATTTAACATTATATTCAATCTTTAAAATACTAAAAATTAATATTATTATGTATTAATATTAATCTTAAATGTAATCTTTATCAAATTTCAACATACGTACAATATAATGTTGTGATGCCTAAATTTACTCATAGCATTTAAAATGATTCATTTTAGTTTTTAGCATTTTATTTTTACTTTATATACACAATATAATATAGAATTTTATTTATCTGTTTATCGATAATTTATTGGTTTATTGACCATAACATGAAAATAATTATCAGCATTTTAAAATTGGTGCATCCTGAAATACAAGTGTATTTATCAGTATTTCTTTTGTCCTCCATTTTGGAGAAGAAAACTGATCCCAATTCATGCTATGATGCCTTCTAGGTTGGCTAATTGTTAGGTTTTGGATCACAGCTAACATGTTAATGATTGTCCTCAGAGAGAAGAAAACAGCGAATGGAATCTTCTGAATAAGGGCTTGTCGAGAGGGAGAAGCAATGCAAGTGCAAAGAGTCAGCAGCAGGTAAACCGTCAAGCTATATCTCTATCCAAGAATTCCATCTTGTGTCTAAAACGATCATGTACACACAAAACATTTAACAACCTATTCCTTTACTAGTCTCCTCAGAGTGACACAGCCAATGAGAGGAGCTCAAGGCAGGCCAGTAAGACCCAGCGGAGCCAATCACAGGACAGAGACACCCAGAGTGGCACAAAAAGGACAGCAGAGTCCATTAGACTAACGCAGCCAAGCCTAGCGGACAGAGCAGATTCCCCCTCCTGCCTCCCCGTGGATACAGCTAATGAGATCGCCATACTGGTCGAGACACATGATGGACTGATTCCTAAGGGTAATATTCATTTCTTATATCACTAATACAGTGCTGCAAGGATGGTGTATTTTTTAGGCCAACCAGATAATCAATTAACATACTTTTTTTCTGAATTTTGAAGCCTAGATATAATCATTAGAAATAAAAAGCTAAAGTTAGGCTATAAACAAAGTGTACCACAAATGTACAACTTCAACATCACCACCACTAAGACAACTTTTTTAGTCTTTTTAATCTTAAAATCTAGAAGTTGGAAAGTTTGAGTTAGAATCATTTGCAACAGTGTGATTATAAATACAGCAAGGCTGTTTAAGTGGACTATTGAGTAGATAAGTTTACCTGTTCTGCATGATGCCATTTAATGTCCCCAACAACCTCTGTAGTCCAGTTTAGCAACCTTTTTCAAGACATATAAAAACTTTAAAAAAATTATGAGTGGGGTTTATATTGATGTATTTTATAGAATAAAAAATAGACAAAATCCTTTCTTGCAGCCATCATGTTCTTGCTAGAGCAGGACAAAATAGCCAACCAGCGCATTCGTAGAGAGGGTTTTTTTTCCCACTGATGTTGACTGGACGGAGCAAAGGAATCATTGTGAACCTCATTAAGAGTTGTTACAGCTACACCAGCCAGAACGTCTTCTAGACACATACTGGATAAGAATGTCCTGCTCAAAGTTGCCAGATCCAACAAAAAATAGTTCAAGATGCACTGAATCCAGTAAAACACAATTAATGCTTGAATAATGTAATAAAGGAACAAACTATTTCCTGTTTAAGGAAATTGTTTTAGTATAAAATGTGATTTTTACCTACTAGCCTGTTTACTCAGTTCATTGTGATTCGTAGACTGAATAGGTCCCGTGGAGTAAATTACATTGTGCCCTATCACTTGAACATGGGCAAAGTGAGTGCCAGTCACAAAGCCGGTCACAATTAACAAAGCTTGTTGATGGTTTAAAGCATGTTATCATCAAATCATCATCAGCATTTACATAGTCTAATAGTAGTCCATTAATCTCTCACACACGTCCCGCACTGTCCTGCAAAATCACATCTACAGTCTTGTAACAAAGCAATAACCAAGTGGTCACCCTATTTTGGACCCATTTAATTTAGAAATTCATACAATGCATACTCAGCTGACAGAATCTGTATATGTGTATATTTCAGTCTTAACATTTGGTGAGAAGGAGATGCTTTGTGTCTCACCGCCTAAGTGTTCCTGCAGAGAGGGGAGTGGCACCAAACTCTGTGACTCCGCCCCTTGTGATGCCACTGTAACCATAGAAACCTCTAGAGACTCCCAGACAATGAAAACATCAATCAAACCACATGATCTGAGACCGGCTTACTCTGACAAATATCAAGCGCTAGAATACGAACATCAGCCTGATGACAAGTTAGAAAAGCTGCAGACGTTCTACTCCGAGAAAGGGGCTTCTCCCAGAACGGGACAGCGCTTTAAGGATCTATTACTGGCCATTGAGGAGAAAACCTACAATGCTCGCCACCTCAGCGCCATGGAAACCATAACACAAACCTCCCCTTTACCTCGACTACGTCACACTGGAATGCTGAAGGAAGCCACACCTAGAAAAGTCACTTGGGTCGGTCTTACGCGCCACACAACGCCTGGCACTGGCTCCTCGCCTTTCTTAGTAAATGGGTCCAAACCGCCATTGTTTCCATCTCAGAGACAACAAGCTCTCGTCAATAAAAACCTGAGACATGCAAAGGAGAAGAGGAACGCAGGAACGGGAGGGGGAGGAGGGATCGGTATCCCCAGTAATACCGCGAAAAGAAATTCTGTTCAGTTGCGAACAGCTATACAGCGCAGAGTCACGGACCTCAACTTACCAATGCTTCCATCTGCTTTACAAAACAAATCAGACAAAAAGACAGAAATACTCAGAATGGATTTCGGGTGACATTTGAGGCCTTCTCAAAGGGAATATGCTGGGTTCAATACAAGTCATGCTCATTCGACAGCATTTGTGGCATAATGTTGATTACCACAAACAAATCATTTTGATTCATCCCTTGTTTAAGGCAAGACTACGGTGGACGAGAAGTGCAAAACAAATCACAATTCTAATGGCGCTGTCTCAAACTATACCTACCTCTTCCGGTTTGTCTGATTTGTCGTTGTGTTTTCTGACTTGTTATTTTGTTTTCGAATTTGTCATTGTGTTTTCTGACTTGTTATAATGTTTTCTGAAATGTTGTTGTGTTTTCTGAATTGTTATTTTGTTTTTTAGACTTGCATTTGCGTTTGTAATTTGTTATTTTGTTTTCAGAATTGTGATTTGTTTTGCACTTCTCGGCCACCGTACAAGACACTACAGGCAAAACCATTGTTTTTTCATGCACATATATTCTGAAGGTTTTTACAGAGGAGTTTGTTCATATATACCCACCTCGTTTATATAAATGTTTATTCCTTAAAACATGGTAAAAATATCTTTTGACAATATTTTGTGTTTTATAGAGTCATAAAAATAGAGATATCCAAAATCCCCTCTGTAAAAACCTTTAACTCTAATATATCAATAAAGTGGAATTTTGAACTTTACTTTATCCAATGTTCAGATTTGACAAATGTATGCAAATTTGTGCATATTTGATTTGATTTGAAATGTTGAAACATAACATTTCAGAAAACTGCTATTAATCAACTGGTGAATGGGGCACCATTAATTTTTAGAGAGTTGGACTTGTAAGCCAAAAGTCACTTGTTGGTGGGGGAGTGAATGGACAGCGCTCTCTTCCACCCTTAATACCCACAACTGAGGTGCTCTTGAGCAAGGCACCGAACCTCCATTTGCTCCCCAGGTGCCGCAGCAAAATGGCTGTGTTCGTGGTGTGTGTGTGTGCGCACCTGGATGGGTTAAATGCAGCGCACAAATTCTGAGTATGGTTTACCATACTTGGCAGTCACATCACTCACTTTCACTTTCAGTCTTCACCTTATTCACCTTTAGTGCTTGACCTTGAATTCACTTCCACTGTAAGTGCCTCACTTTCATTTTTTTGTGAGTTAATCAACATTATGCTAGTTGCTGACAATAAGCTATCTGCTTCAGGAAGAAGAATGAGTTATTAGTAGTCTTACCATTACCTCCCCTCTTGCCCTCCATCCTCCCTTTTTCTACCATAATCCCCTGGTCCCCGGACAATTTGACTACTCTTGAGTTTCTTAATTGTCTGGTTGGGATTTGACTGATGCCCATTGTAGGTTTTAAGCTGCTATTATGTTTCTCGCTTTATGAATGAATGCATCTGAATAGCATCACTCAGCTATACCAGTCGGTGCCAAAGGATGAGGATCCAGCTTATGAGGAAAATGGCTAATATAATATAACTATTTTATTGGCTTTTTGTTTGAAGCTTACAGTACAATAAAGTAGGAAACTATTGTTCAGGAGGAAATGTATTTTTGGTACAACCTTTTTTTTTCTTTTTTTAACAACTTATCTTAAAAATAAATTGACAGGATACTCAATACTGGACTGCTCGCATAATTGTAGACATCTAATTAGGCTAATTTAAGGGTGTGCGTGTTTTGTAGTGTGTATGTTAAATGAGCAACTGTATTGTGGCTGCTCCCCAGTGGCCAGAAGGGTTTTGTATAATGGACATATAAAGGAATCTTTCCCTCTTTTCAAATGGTGAGGAGCTCATGAATTATGAACACTTTGTTTTGGTACTCGATATGGTGCTGAGGGGGCTTAGCCTTTGTGTGTGCGTGTATAGATATGTGTGCTGGAGAGAGATTGATCCGAAGTGAGTGTGGCATGTCTGCACCTCAACTCAGACTTGCAACCACATAGTTCCCGAAGAGCCAAGTCAGACACTTAAATATCCTCAGATTATATAATCCATCTTTTTTTCAACAGTTAGTATGAATTTTATTGCAGGTAACAACATAACAGAACCAAGTGGCATCTGCAAACAATTGCGGTTCTATTTTCCAAATTGACTTTACATTTCTAGCCTTTTTGCAAAACTACTTTTAACCCATTTTGATGTCAAGATGATTACTGTTTTATATTTTAATTTAATTGAAAATGAAATTTATTCCTGTGAATTTTCAGCATCATTACTCCAGTCTTCGGTGTCACATGATCCTTCAGAAATCAATCTAATATGCTGATTTGATGCTCAAGAAACTTTCTAATTTCTAATTATCAATGTTGAAAACACTTGCACACTTTTGCGACATTATAATTGTCTTTACTGTCACTTTTGATTACTTTAATGCATCCTTGCTGAATAAAAGTATTAATTTCTTTTAAAAAACTTAAAATCTTACTGACCCCAAACTTTTGAATGGTAACTGATGAAGTCAGCTCTCCTCAAACTCATACAGGCGTTTATCGCATTTAATATGATGGAACATCATTAACATTTTACAACTACAAATTGTTGAATATGTATGTCCATTTTTATTATTAATTTTAAACAATGTCTGTTGTTTTATAATCTAGAACATGACAACTTTCTTTTTATGAGTGATTTGGAGTTCTTTAAAATAAATGGCACTTTGATGAATAATTTGCTATATAATGCAACGGCATTCATTTGAACTGTATCTTACATGTCCAAATACATAAGTATGGAAACATGTCCTGCAGTACAAGCAGTGGTCTGACCTCAAATACACCAATGACCTTATGTCTGGACATTACCAGGGTGCTACCATTACCTCCAAGATAATCCCATCTGTCTCTGCTTTAATTAAACACACCATAGAGAAAAAGAACTAATATGTACCACATCAGTGACTTAACTAGAAAGACGCTACAGGGGTATCTTACTCTACCGGGCAACCTCAGTTCCATGGGAATGAATATGTTATACATTTAGACCAAGATCATGTCAATGTTTGCTTTTGTCCAGGAAAAAAAGTGGTTGGACAGAATATACTATGTCTCACTTTATATCCTTGAATAGATTTATGAATCTTAAAACTCTTTTTATGTTATGACTTTAAATCTGTGAGATTTTAATAAGAAATGCCAATGTATTACACCCTTGAGAACGACCATGACAGCCAAGAATAGAATATAGACCCTTCTCACATAGCAGTTTAGTTTAAAACAGTCTAGCAACTGAATTTGAGCACCAAACACTCTACGGAGAGAGCTGAATTTGTTGAAAATGTGCTGAATGAGATGAAAATGTGCCGCTGCTATTAATTTGGCATATGATTTTATCCAAAGCGACTTGCATTGCATTCAAAGTATAAATATTTTTTAATCAGTTCGTGCATTTTCTGGGAATCGAACCATGACTTGCCGTTGCGAGTGCCACACTGTACAGTTTGAGCTTCAGGAATGTTAACAATTTATTCAGTGGCCTGTGTCCGGGTGACCAGGCACCTGTGAAGCCCAATCTTTCCATAAACAAGCCCAAACTTGCCTAAGACCAATATAGACTTGACTTACTTTTGTGCTTAGTGGTCCGACTAGCAGTTTCTATAATGTGTGTGTGTGTGTGTGTGTGACAATAATTACAAATAATTAAAAGAATAATTATATTCACCATATTCCCACAGGCCTGCATATCAAGATTTAAACAATTCTGTGAGACAATTTAATTATGTAGAATTAAATGCCTTAATGAATGTCTAATTTTATGAGTATTTATAATATCAAACTATCTCAAACCATCATTTCTTGTTTACCAAACACCGCACACTGTCGCGATCATATAGGCTAGCGCGAGAATTTTGAAGCCCCATGTTTTTTTCGTGAATTGAAGGGTGGCGACTGGCGACTGGCGAGGGCGGCGTTTGGGTTTTGAGCGGTTATTAACCACGAGTTATATCGTCACTGCTGTACGCGCTTAATCCCGGGTTGAATAAAACATGCGTGCTTCTGGGTCAAACAGAAGTGACGCCGCACGAGGCTATCAGTAACTCACTTACAGCTGCATAAAAAAACTACAAGCATAGTGCACGAGGCGGGAAACACGTCTTCAAGTCCAAAGATTTCTATGTAACCTGAAGTGCTTCAGAGGCTGGACTGTCAGCACCTCGCCCTGACTCGCGTTTCCCAGGAAATAACGGCTATACACCGGACTTCTCCGGTTTCTAATGACGTGCATGCATTATTGAGCGCGCTCTCCCGGGCAGTACGGTGAGTGGCACCGGGTCAGCCACGCACAAAACGGACTGCGCTCCAGGAACATTACACTGACGCTGTCGTTGTTTAATTAATGCAACCTCCGATTAACTGTCAGTTTAGGACTATCCCGCCAAAGTGTCCTAACCCTAAAAAAACACACCGACTGTAACAACACCGCAGCACGGGTGTTAAAGCAATTAAATAATAGGCCTACATATCGTTACTAAATATGGGTTAAATGCACATATAATAACAAACTGACACTATGAACTGCACCACATTAACACGTTTGGCGAACTAAAATAGCATATTGAATGTCACAGCTCACTTAAATAAGATCAATGCTTACTGCCAACACTTTTGTAACAAATATTAGTCATACAATTATGCATTTAGCTCCTACTAAACGCATAAATGTAAATATCCCAGGTTCATGAAACTTTACAAAACATCAAAGAGCTGCTCTGACATAATTTCACTTAGTTTGCTATAGGTCGACTTTTCATAAGTCAAAGCACAGTTAGCACACAAACTTGGAAAATTTCACAGCTGTTAAAATTTAGGCTGTTGATTAATCCAGCAACTCGTGATGTTTGAAGCGTCTCTCTCAAGAGCAGCTGAGTTCACAGTAAATGAAGCAACCCATCTCTGTGTGTGCTTAGTTTAACGTGCATTTGGAAACCATGTACTGTATGCTCGGTTCATTTTATTTACACATTCACATAATTTCCAACATTTTTATAAATGGAGGTTTACAGCATTTCACCAGTATTCTGCCAAAATAAAAAGCTTGAATTTGAAATGCTAAAAGATCAAGGGTTTGAATGTTTGAAAGGAGAATTTAAGACATACAAATGTGTAACATAAATCATAATAGTATCGCATAGTTTTTTTTATTTACAGTAGGCTATTGTAAACTTCATTATAAAAAATGAAAACAGAAATACTTTACTGTTTTAATAACAAATAATAATAATAACTATTAGTTTGTTGAATTTGAATGGGTTCCTAAAAACACCAAAGTGAATAATGTGGACAGACACAAATAAATTGCGGTTTGAGTCCACTTTAAAGTCCAGCTACAAAAGTTAATCATATCTCAGTTCAAACAGCAATATTAACAAAAGTTGTGCAGCCCTATATATAAATATAAATATATATATACAATTTTCAAAATAAAACATTTGCTTTAAAAAGAGTAAATGTTTTATCTGTTGACTTGCATGTCATCAACCAACATAAGGTTATGCAAAATTGTTTAATGAATTAAATATTAACTTAAAATCGCAAGTAAACATTTTAAGTCTAAGGGGTTCAGCTGACAAAAAAAAAATGTTAGGGAACCCCTGAATAAGGCAAAAGTCTTACCAGGTTCTCTCAAAACTCCATTTCACATGTCACCCTTGGGATACAACTTTTTATATTCAGAAAAATATATGTGCATTAACTAATGAAAAATTACCAAAATGTGTAATGCCAATGCCATGGTATTATCTTCCACAATAAGGGTTAAGTCCACGAAACAAAACATTGGTGGTGCACTATTCAGTACCTGAAACACAGATGATGTACTGTGCCTCTGAGTGAAATCATGCCTGTCCTGAGACTGGGGTGTCAAAATCTGCAATAGGACAAAATGATACTGTGGATACGCTTACATTTAATGGGGCAGCTCAACAAGATAATGTTACAACATGGCTGGATTTTGTTTTACAATATGCAGAGGTTTGAGTGTTTTTATCTCACTTTAGATTAAAAAAAGTTATATTTGCTTGTTCTCCAAAGCATCACACAAATCCAGTTACACAGCACTTGATAAGAGTCCTTCTGCAACTAAAACTGTCACATTTAAGAGGGATGCCTAGTTTAAAAATGGTAAGAACAGTAACACAAACAAAATAGGTCAAGCAGCCTCCTCGGATATTCTGTGCACTAATAACTTAAAATGTGCCGATTTGCGTAGTGAATTTGACCCTCAGAGGAACTACCATCAGACTCTTTGACTACTTTGGTGTTGCAACACATGGCTTAACCAGAACATTTTTTTATTTTGACAGGCACTAATGTACAGGAGTTTGTACATTCTGATTATATTCAGTATGAAATACTAGCCAACCACTTTCTTAACAAATAACATGTTCTGATTATCTCCAAAGTCTACGCCGAAAAATATAATATTTTTTATATATAGTTTTAATATTGATATTAAAAACACAAAAATAAGACATTTCTCCCTAAAAAAAAAAAAAAAAAAAGATAAAGTTCTATTGCACACAAAGAAAAAAGCGCCACCTGCTGGCTAAAATCTTTCTAATCTAAATTTTGCAGGAGTGCCCTTAGGGATGAGTGTCATTACCATTCTTTAACAAGTAATATATTGCAAAAGTGTACTGGACAGTAATTAGATATTGACATAACAAATAAAGAATTTACTTGAGATATAACAGTTGTCATTTGTAGTAGCCTATGTAAATTCTTTATCCATGTCATTTCTCGATTCATGTAAAACAAAGGTATTTGAAGGATAAGAAATATGTATCATTATATTATGGAGATAAAAAAAGCACGATGAACAACAATACAATGTTATAACAACATGGATAAGCGGTTTTCACTGACCGACTCATCTCAGAGAAACAGAATATATGGAGGCATGAGGTTTCCAAAGTGAGTGTATAAGAGTAAAACACATACACGGATATATACATACAGTACACATTCACACACGCATCCCTATATTTACACACACATTCAAATCACACACTTCGGACAACCAGTTAAAGTACAAAAAAAAAATCCTATTACCGGTATATAAGCCCTCAGTCCACCAAACCGAAAATAAGATATGTAGACAAAACAAAGGAAAACGAGAGAAGAAAAAAACAGACTAAATGCTGGAATGAGCTTCACGCAGGCCATGACACCTGCAGTTTTCAGGTTTAACGGACATGTTGGTGACACACAGACTAGTGCTTTTATCGTGTTTATAGACGGAGCGAGGTTTGACTCGCTCACTCCAAGTGCACCCTCTCCTGGTCAGGGTTTGAAGTGCACTCTTCATTCAAGCACAAATAAACTCAATAAAAGCCAACTAGTGAAGCAAACAAAAAAAGAACTGGAAAAAATCTGAAAATCGGCACGCAGATACACCATCACCAATGTAAAAAGGAAACAAAAACAAATATCCCAGTTGCAGTAGTAATACAAATTCAATTGGTTAAATGAGGTTGTGGTTTGAGCTGTGTGTGATATTATAGATAACTAGCTGTGGTTGTTTAAATTTGTCTTATGTCAATATTAAAATTTGTATAGTTGTAGAGATCAGCAAAATCACCATAGATTTAAATAAGCATCTAACATCCCTGTTCCCTCATACATATAAGTTTCATATTAACCGAAAATTAGACTTTCACAATCCGCTTATATTGTCCATCATAGAAACATAATTAAATAATGCTTCTCATTTAAAAAGAAGAGACATATTTTCCCCAAATTGAGCAATTGAGGCCAAAATTAAATGTTAATAAAATCTTCAAATCAAATAAGATAAAGACATTCAGCACATTCTGTGTGTGTTCATCATGTGGTTTGTGTGTGACTCATCTGAGAGCATGTAAGTGAGATTAACCGTTCAAGGCTCCTAGTATCTCAGCTGAAAAGCACATTTCCTTAGGAAACAAGCAAAATCCCCAACTTCACGGATACCAGGCAACCAAACAGCCTCGGCTCGGAGCGAGCAACACAATACAGCTCTTTCTGGGAGGAATGGGCTCTGTTACACAGCTGCAAGTTGAGGCACTGTAGGTCCTGGGCTCAGTGGGTCCTGTTATTCTGAGATATTGAGTCCCATGGTGTAATTTCGTGTCCGAGCCCAATATGTCCTATGGCGCAGCTCCACCTCTGGGCACAGTGGGCCCTGTGGTGCAGCTCTGCCTCAGGGCTCTGTGAGCCCCATGGCACAGCTCCACCTCAGGGATCAGTGGGCCCTGGGGTGCAGCTCCATTCGTTTGTTGATTGAGCAGCATCCTCAGAATAAGGCGGCGCATTTGGTCAGTACAATTTGGTTTCCTGTTGTTAACTGTGTCTCCTTGGTGATTGGTGAGAGTCGGCTAGCTGAAGAGCATGCTGAGATAGCTTAAACCTCAGCAGCCTTCAGGCCGATTTTCTCCTCGTCCTGTCAGTCCGAATTGGGCTTCTTTAGTGAGAAAGCATATATGTTAAAATGATCACTCAGCTGCTTCACCTGCACAGGGAGACAGAAAAAAAAATGACTATAATGAGAAATATTTTAATGTAGTTGTGCATAAAAACATGACAGTTACAAAAGATAATTCCATTATATTTATTATATATCATATCATGTTTAAGTTGTTAATAATCATATTTACTATTATAATCATTTATAATTAATGATTTTTATTAGTTATAATATTGATATATTATAAATTATATTAAATTGTTATAGATCATATAAATTAGTTGATTATAGTAATTATACAAATAAAAAATGTGTATATATATATATATATATATATAATTACTTATTTTTATAATTAATTATTATAACAAGTAATTTAATATAAAACCATTTTATTTCATATTATTATATTAATATTACAATATTATTACTACTAATAATAATTAATTTGAAATTATATATTAAATTATTATATTATTAAATAATTATTATAATTATAACAATTACATATTAAAGATTTCCTATAATAAATAATTTCTATAAGTTAAATTAAAAAATATATTCTTCATGACTAATTAACTAATAAGCAGTCTGTGTGTGTCTTTACTCACAACTGATACTCCATAGTGTATGTGAGTGAGGATGACTATGGCAGTCCATATGTAAAGGACAGTAATTTCACCGTGCTGTACAACCCCAGATATCACTAGCAACACCACAGCTGTCATCGGCAACAACAACAAACTCAGTGGCTTACATCGAGTATTACTCATCTGGCATACAATGAGCTTGCACTGAGACAGAGAGAGAAAGAGAGCATGTCAGGATCAGAAATCTGACAAGATGTTTCAAATGGAACTGAAAGACATCCATTGTCACGGCTGCACAACTTGTTTATCTACAGCAGAGAGAGAGGACTGAGTACACTCACAGTAACATTGGAGAAGGCTGTTCCCACCATGAGATAAAAGATTCTGGGTTGCTTCTCGATGATGTCTGTAGGAGAGAGACTGATCCACAGTGTAGACAGCACAAACAAGAGGACGGGAGAGAAAAACGGCAACAAGGCCTCATACACCGAACTGTGCTTCAGGGTGTTCTTACGGTATGCCCTAAAATAATACAGAGAGAAAGAGTGAGAACAAATATCCCTGTTCCAAAAGCATACATTATTCAATAGAACATCAGTAAGCTACAAAGTATGAGTCATTTTTATGTAGTCCAAGGCACAAGAGGCCTGAAACGAAACTTACTTAAAGACATTGTAGAGGCTCATTGGCAATGTTACAACAAATAAACAACCTGTAAAAAAAACGAATGAGGAAATCAGATCATCCTTTAATTTGCAAGTTTGGCCTAATAGCGAATGAAAACAGCATTTGAAGTATTAACTGTAAGAGCAGGGCAGAGTTCACTCACCAACAATCATAACAGTGAACAGATCTCTGTATTGAACATTCCCAATAGCAGGTTTGTACCATGTTTCCACACCAACCACCGCTGTTATTATGTACACGACAGAGATAGTCTGGTATGGAGAAAGAAAAAAGACATTAATGCAAACTGTAATATTTATTTCCATCCAAGAATCATTGAAGTTTTAATGTACTGTGTGTGATATATACAAAAACAAACATTTTTATTTCACATTTTTAATATTCACTACTGCTCAAACATTGGGTACTTATACTTAAAGGGGTCCTATTACGCTTTTTCACTTTTTCAACTTTAGTTAGTCTGTAATGTTGCTGTTTGAGCATAAAAAAAGATCTGCAAAGTTACAAAGTCCAATTCAAAAGGAGATATTTTATTTAACAGAAATCACTTTTCAAAAACTACAACGAACGACTCGTTTGGACTACAACGCATATTTTCTGGGATTTGTGATATCACAAATATCGACGAATGGGATGAGACCTAGTTGAGCTGCACTAGAGAAGGCAACGAGTGTTATCACTATGTCAGAGACACGCTAGCTTTCCCAAGGCAGATGAACTTAGAGTGGTTACAATCATTCGGGTTTAAATCACGCTCAAATTGATTTGTATTTTAATATTTTGTGAAAACCATATTTTCTTTTCATGAGTTTATCTTTAGGTCATTGTAATAAATTACCACTTGACTGATGTCGTAGCCCCAGGGTAGGAACAAAATCCCAGTGTTGTACTTCTCCCAGTGAGACAGTATGAAGGAAAACAGGACAACCCATAACAGATAATACAGCGTCACCACTCCCACGCCTGTCTCACCCCGTCCGAAGACAGAGTACACTGTAGCGACGAAGAACACACATGCCCAGCTGTCCAGATGGGACGAGACCTGGTTGAGCTGCACTAGAGAAGGCAACGAGTGTTATCACTATGTCAGAGACACGCTAGCTTTCCCAAGGCAGATGAACTTAGAGTGGTTACAATCATTCGGGTTTAAATCACGCTCAAATTGATTTGATGTTGATGCAATATTTACACTGAAGCTCGCAGGCGGCTATGATAAGGGGCATGACATTTCCCGAACAGCGCCGAGTGCTGCCAATCACAACACACACTGGCCCAGCTAACCAATCACAGCACATTTCGTATTTCAGAAGGCGGGACAGCACACACTGGCCCAGCTAACCAATCACAGCACACACTGGCCGCCTGTTCTAGTACACCCCCAAAACAAAATCAAGACTTTGTAAAAGAGCATAATAGAACCCCTTTAATACTTATAATAATTAATAATATTATTCAGCAAGGATTCATTACATTGTTTACAAAATGACAGTAAAAACTTTTCTAATGTTACAAAAGATTTCTATTTCAAATAAATGCTGTTTCTTTAACTTTCTGGACAGGAATATATCATGGTTTCCACAGAAATATATTTTCTTACTATTTCTTCTTAATAAGAAGAAGAAATGTTACCTGAGCACCAAATCAGCATATTAGAATGATTTCAGAAGGATCATGTGAGTATTGGCTGCTGAAATTCTGCTTTACCACGACATGAATAAATTAATTAAAATTATATATATATACACATACACACACACACTCTCATGAGCCTTTTTCAAAAACAATCTTACTGACCTCAACCGAAGACAGAGTACACTGTAGCGACGAAGAACACACATGCCCAGCTGTCCAGGCCGTGGTCGAACAGCTCACCCAGTGGAGTGCTGGAGTTTGTTCTCCGAGCCTGTTTGCCATCCACACCATCTGCATGTACACACACAACAAACAAAATATATTTGAAACTTATATGTAGGCATACACATTTCCAATTTTGCTACCACATACACAATGTTTCAGTGGTCCTATGGATCCCAGACATAATATTCACAGCTCTTCCCTTACTAAACTATAGTGTTAAGAAGCAAGCCTCTGCAAATTTGCTGCATGTTCATATTTTCATATGCAAACGTGTCTTTTGTGGCTGTATTACGGTCAAATGTCCCTATTGGTCAAAGTGCTCATCTAGTGAGTTATTAATGTATACAGCACACCTCAGTAGGTTTATAAATGTACACAGGTGGGACTAAAAATAAGATTTGTGCCAAAATATCAGATTTGTGCATTAGGCACTTGAAAAAACAAATATTGTTCATATTAAACGATATTACTGAAATGCACAGCTCCAAATGTATTTCATTAATTTAAAGATCAAATGCCATTATTTTAATCAGTTAATATTTAGCTTTTTTTAATTAAAGGAGTGTGTTCAATAGCATATTGGTATTTGCTGTGTTCATGAGAATTGTGAATGTTCTGGACAACAACTTGAACAATATTTTGACTCTATTAGCAAATGTGCCTTAAACACAAATAAATTGATTTTACAAAAGGGATTCAGAAACATTAGCCACTAGCTGACAGAAGACTGATCAATTAACATTAGTACTATTTCAATAATAGTGGACAGTCATGGCCTAATAGTTAAAGATTCTGACTTGCAAGCCGAAGGTCGTGGGTCTGAGTCTCAGTACCAGCATGAATTGTCGGTGGGGGGAGTAAATAATCAGCGCTCTCTTCCACCTTCAACAACCATGACTGAGGTGAGACCCTTGAGCAAGGCACAGACCCCCAACTGCTCCCTGGGGCCCGCAGCAAAAAATAGCTGCCCACTGCTCTGGTGGTGTGTGTGTGTTCACTACTCACTGCTGTGTGTGTGCACTTGGATGGGATAAATGCAGTGCACAAATTCCAAGTATGGGACACCATACTTGGCCACGTCATGTCACTTTCAAAAACAAAAAGACACACTTACCTAAGGTATAGGCCAGAAAGTTGAACAGACCAGCAGCTATCCACACCCAACTTGGCACATGTGTACGGCCTTCCCCTGTGCCACACAACACCCACGAAACAATCAATCCCATTTGTAAACAGGTACAAGTCCAAAAAAACAAAACAACAACAACAGCATTAAACTAATAAATTGCTATAAATTATACCCTTAAAATACCTACCTTTTTTAGTTCATTTATGAAGAATGAATTTAACTTTCAATACTACATATCAGTGAAAAACACTATGATTTAAAAAATGTTTTTGTCTTCATTACTACTTAATGGAAACATATTTGTTGCTAGGAAAACAAAACTTTTTTTTTAAAGCAAAACTTGTTTGTAGTGTCGCTTCTTTTAATTATTCACTCCACAACACTGAATGTACAGTGTGTTATGCATATGTGAGAGAGCTGGCAATGTGCACAGGTGTGGCTGTGTATTAACAGATGGCTAGTTGATAATTGAGAGAGTGATGAGCTGGAAGCGAGACCTTGATCCTTGTCATATGAAAAAAAGAAAACATACAACCTTTTTCTTATCTTTGCACATAATCACTATTACTAACTGGTTATAGTTGTTATAATTCCAAATGAGTTAAGGTCCCTAAGCTTTGGGAAAGAGAGCATTACCCACAATACCCTCTCACTAGCACATCAAATCCATACCAATCATACACACACAGTTTATTGACCTCACCTGAGGCATAAAAGTCAAAGTCGAAAAAGGACAACAAGGTGAAGGTGAGTACCAGGAACATGAACCCTGTAAATGTGATGAGGTTTGGGGCAAGCCATGTGGGCAAGATCTGAGGCACAGCGAGAAAGAGGGAAATTAGCGAGTTGCAAATGGTCTGATCTCCCTCGCAGGTAATCAGATCCAGACGGAACATTCATTAATGTTGCATATATGTAATTCAATGAAAGCAAAACACAGCATAATGTTATTCTTTTTATGTGAAATACCACTATATAGTCATGGATTCAAAATATTTTATAAAGATTGACAGACAAGAAACAAATCTTCATAAATGCATCTTTATAACACAAAATAATATGCAATAAACAATTTAATAATAGTATATTTTAATATACAATATAAATAAACAAAAATAAAATGCTATACTAAAATATATAACTACAAAATAATTGTAAATAGAAATATATTACAATTTGATAAAACTATAATTAATCTAATATATCATTTTAAAATAATATAATAAAATACTTTTGTTTGTCATATTTGAAAGAGACTTTGCATTTGCTTGTCCTAATGTCAGTCTTGAGTTTTAATGCATTAAATAGTACATTTAAGTAATACAAATGAATATTAATCTATAATAAAAGTGTTGTTATTATTATTATTATTATTATTAAATCTGTTATGAGAGACTGAATGCCCTGGGTAACATTCCAAACGACAGTGGTGATTCTGAACATTCTCACCTTCACCACTGAGTTCCAGAAGGGGTGCATGACGTAGATAGAGAGGGGGTTGGAGTCAACCGCACTGTACTGTAAAGAAGAGATGACAAGAAATGCAGAGTAAGACAACACATTAACACTCAGGTCCAGAAGTGTGAATGTCGAAAAGTGTTAACAAAAGAGTGTTTCTGCTGTGTCCACTAATATGGCACATTGTGTCTACAAACTTTAGATGAGATGATTAAAATGTAACCTAAAAGTATCACTAAAAAACTGCCCATGTAGCAGGAACTACTGGAAAATAAATTCTGAAGTCCAAACCTAGAGACAATTTAGAATGGCCAGAATGTAATAATGTCTATCAAAAATGAAACAGTTCACTACAGCACACAATAGCATGATTCAGGGGCGAAGGTCACTTTTCACTTGCTCCCCCAGCATGTGTTTACTGTGTGAGCTCACACTTGAAGCTTAGGGATAGGTCAGCAATGTCAGCAAATGAACGTACACAAAACCACAAATTAAATGTACACAAAATGCTGAAATGAAATACACACTTATTTTAATGGTTTTAGTTAACTATAATAACCCTGTTCTGGTCAAATAAACACACTGCGGTAGTCATGAGGGGGTAGTCATGTACGTTCAATGCCCCCTAAAAGTATGTGCAAACATGCAGAGCAAGAATAGCACATACAATCTCAGCAGCCTGTACACCTAACGGCCCAAAACACTGGGAGTAAATAAATACACCTTATCAGGCCAACAGGACATTCAACCAGGAGGCACACAGCGTCAGAGCCACATTCATTCACAAGTTCTGTCAAATAACCACTCAGAAATACACAAAACTCTGCGTCACACCCAGGAATTCAACCTCTCGACCTCTCTAGTTTCACACCCTTTTAAGCAAACTATCATCTTCAGAGATGCCTAACAGAAATTTTTGCGACAAATACTAATAGAGACAGACTGATTGATTTAATTGTTTATTTCATGTATTATAAATTAATAATTGATTGATTTAATTGTTTATTTCATGTATTATAAATTAATAATTATCACATAATAAAAGCATAATATGCATTATGAAAATGTATAACTAAAAATAAAAAATGACTATATATATATATATATATATATATATACTGTTAGTAGTTGTTTGCGATATAATCATTCAGATATTTTGTGTTCATTTTGTGCAATTTGTTTTCATTTCTAGAAAGTAATTTATACAAACAATACATTAAATAAGCAAGTTCTTGTTGGTTCCTGATGAACACACAGCGGTATATAATGGCATTGTTGGTGGCATTTATTGGATAACAAGATACAGTAAAAAAAATTATATTGTGAAATATTACAATTTAAATAACTTCACAAATATTTTTTTTTTTTTCAAAATATAATTTATTCATGTGATTGTAGAGCTGGATTTTCAGCAGCATTACTGCAGTCTTCAGTGTCACATGATCACATGATAATATGTTGATTTGGTGCTCAAGAAACATTATTTTTATTATTTATTATCATCACCGCTGAAAACAGTTGTGCTGCCTAATATTTTTGTGGAAACCATGATACATTTTTTCAGGATTGTGTTTGTGTTGTGAACAATAGTTCAAAAGAACAACCTTTATTTAATAGAGAAATCTTTTACAACATTGTAAATGTATTTACTGTCTCTTTTGATCGTTTTAATGACTTCTTACTGAATAATAGCATCATTTAAAATACTTTTAAAACTACTGCATATTGATTAACAATTATAAAGTACGTGTGTAGATAGATAGATCAAGACAAACGCCCACAGAGTAATAAGTTACAATAATCATGAACAAGACACAGATAGTGTTTATGCAAGCAAAGGGGTTCATAACTGGATAAACAAAGAGCTTTACATCTCAATCTTTTCAGGCGCTTCTTCTTCTATAAATTATATCAGAGGACTCTGACACTACACAACTATATACATACAGTAACACCTGAATATTAAATGAACACGGCGAACAATTAAAGTGAAAGCACGGAGTGAGTGACTCGCATGCAAATGATGTCCAAACCATAGATCCTTGTTAGACGCGGAACCATGAGCCCATCCCTTTACAATTCAACACAATTTACAAGCTAACCGACAACATAAAGCACGTAGATCAACTAAAACAAAGCAGGATACCGTGTTTGTGTTTAGCTGGTAAAACAAGATAATGTTGTCGCTGCGTCGCATAATGTTTAGAACTGAAGATCTACTTTCACTGGCGGTTTCAAGTCACTGTGGCACACCAGTTTCACCGGTTAATACCACTAACATGTCTTTAAAATCTTCGAATTGGATGTATATGCAGTAATAACTCAATTGTGTATCAATTAATCCCGCAAATTTGAGGGAAAAACACTATTTCTCTTTAAAGGTCCTTTCTAGAGAGCGGCACACACCGGTAGACCTCATGCTTCATGATAGCATTAACAGCACGGCTCGACTTGCCGACACCCTCAATTCCTACACATTGTGCAGAATAAGAGCGGCCTCACCTTATATTTATCAAAACCTGAGAGTTGCTCTTGGGTGACATAGTGGTAGAGAGCCATGATGACCGCAGCACGGCTCTGAGACGGACCGAAATTCACCCGTGTCGGCTCACAGTATCCGCAGTGCCGCGCGCGTGCGGTCGGTGGCGGTGCAGTGGCGTGACGCCTGAAACTCCGCCCACAAGCCAATGTGATGTTTCATAATAAAAGCCGACGTGGAACTTGCATCAAAACGTCAGAAACACTCCTCTATATTTAGTTTTTATTCAGTTATGTTACGTTTTTTTCCTACTCATTATAGTGTTGTACTATTTATTTATTTATTTGTATGTTTATTTGTTTATTTATGTGTGTGTGGATGTTTGTATGCATATGTGTGTGTGTGTGTGTGTGTGTGTGTGTGTACTTAACCATATTTTGGGGACAAATTTGTACCCAAAAGTGAGCAAAACCTGACATAATCGCCAAAATCCTCAATTTGGGGACGTCCTCATTTGTAAAACTGGTATAAAAATAAAGTAAACAACGGTTTTTTTAAATTGTAAAAATGCAGAAAGTTTTCTGTGAGGGTTAGGGTCAGTGGTAGGAGTGGGGGTGGGGTTAAAAAGTGTATAACTATCTGTATATAAAACAATAGAAATCTATGTAATGTCCCCATTTGTATAGCTAAGTAAACGTGTGTGTGTGTGTGTGTATGTATGTATGCATGCATTTATGTATGTATGTATTTATTTACATTTTAAACTGCTTTTCTCCAAACTGTTCTACGGACCACCCAGCCCCGGCGGCTCCTCTGACCTAAGTTTAAAAACCCCGGGACTAGTCTACATAAAACGGGGACAAATGTTGCACTATATAGACTAAATATGCACATTACAAAAACGATTATTTTACAATACGTGAGCTGGGAATTTGGGTTAGATGTCACACTTCTTTTTTCTCATTGTAGGTTCTTTTTAAATTATTTTTCCTATAAGCATATACATCATAGCACTGATCTGTGTATATATTCATTAAAGGAAGTGGTTAGTAAATATTGTAACGTATTCAGAATGTTGTTGTGTTGTGGAAAACAATGTGTTTAATGTTAATGTTGCACTTTATTCCTTTTTGCGTTTGGAACTGTTATTGGATGTTCACGTGTATAGGGAAAGAGGCTCCACCCCCTGGGGTGTGTGAAAGGGGAAACTGAGAGAAGGGGGCAGTGTTGCCAATTTGGGGATTTTGTCGCCAAATTTAGCTACTTTCTGATTGTAGCTGCGACTTTTTTTATTTTTTGCGACAAAGAGCTATTGTAGCTATATTTAAATAAAACTAGCGATTTTTTGGAGATTTTATATTTTTTACTTGGCCCCACCTTGCCGTAGGCCCGTGACCGCTCACGCTTGCTCTCAATCATGCCAATGAATCTGCGCAGAACACACCAGTACACGCTTGCCATGACGCACACCACAATTTCATTATAAACATCAATCAAGATGCCGGAGAAAAAAATGAACATCTTGTTTTAACTTTAGCAAATGGCTGCAATATAACAAAGAGTGAAAAATTGAAGGGGGTCTGAATACTTTCCGTACCCACTGTATATTTACTTTCCTTTACCTTTACCAAATTTACCTGTATTTACTTTGTTTTCATATTTGGCGACTTTTTGTGAAAAATGGAGACTTTTGAGGGTGGTTCTAGAGATTTTCTGAGGGAGGGGTTTGGCAACACTGGAAGGGGGTCAGAAGAGTGCCTCGCTGGTCGGGGTGTGTACGGCGTGGGTTGTGGCCGACAGCAGCCCAAATAACACCCCTTTTGCATCAAAAACGCCTCGTCCTTGTCTGAGAACGCTACAATATAATAAGACAAATTCTACAGTATTTCTGTGTTTTTTAGATGCTTCTAAGGCGTTTGATCGAATTAATCATACTAACCTGTTTATAAAAGTACAAGAAAGAAGGGTTCCCCTTTACTTGATAAGGATTTTACATTACTGGTATATTCATCAATCAATGCGAGTAAGATGGGGTGGGAGTGTATCAGCACCTTTTTATATGATGAATGGGGTTCGTCAAGGTGGAATACTGTCTCCTCTTCTTTTTAACTTGTATATGGATGATCTTTCTTTAAAGTTAAACGATTGTAAAACTGGATGTGTAATAGGAGATCATCTTATAAATCATCTGATGTACGCTGATGATTTAGTTATTCTGTCCCCTTACAGTGCGGGATTGCAACAGTTGCTTCGTATATGTTCAAGTTATGGTGTGCAGTTTGATATCACATTTTATAGCAAAAAGAGTGTGGTTATGATTGTCAAAACCAAAGAGGACCTTAAGCAAAATTTTCCATCTTTTTATCTAGGTCAAGCATTAAATGTGGTGAATAAAATAAAATATCTGGGTCACATTATCAAAGATTATTTAAATGATGACGATGATGTGCAGCGCCAATGTTGTAAGTTGTATGGACAAGCAAATTTGGTTCGTACATTTTTTATGTGTACAGATGAGGTTAAAATAGCTCTTTTTAGAGCTTATTATACTTCATTGTATACAGCACACTTGTGGTGTAATTATAGTAAAGCTCAAATGAAAAAGCTTCAGGTGGCATTTAACGATGCTCTGAGAATTTTGCTTAGGCTCCCAAGGTGGACGAGTGCAAGTCAGATGTTTGTATATAATAATATTCCTACTCTTAATGCTGTGTTAAGGAAATATGTGTATAATTTTATGTGTCGATTGATTAATTCAAGAAATGCAATTATAATGGTTCTAAGTGATCCTACATTAAGTGATACTAAGTACTCCTCCTGGTATTGGAAGCGCTGGAATGAATGTTTGTATGTTTTTAAATAGTGTTGTGGCATGTATATTTGTTTTTATTGTCTTGTATTTTGTTACTTTTGTGGATATGGACCTAAGAGTCTGAAATAAAGGAATAATAATAATAATAATAATACCTTAAAGTTATAGATAAATAGCTATTTAATTGTTTATATATATATATATATATGCATGCACACGGCTTGCACATATTCACTATGCTGTTGTGTCACTGTCTACCCAAAAGGGGTCGCTACAAATACACGAATCTAAAAAAAACCAAACAAAAAAAACACATCTGTACAGTAGAAAGGTTACGACTAACATACATAACTCATGTAGGCTATGTTTCTCGATTAAAACTAAATAAACTTATCGTGCATTTATACGACATCCCGGTATAGGCCTACACCCGACAATTAAGCGAAGATAAGGTATCTTTCCTGGTGCTCAATTACACTAGATAAGTAAAGCTCATATCCATACTTTGCTTTGGTGTTGTCCTACTTCAGAATATGTAAGAGTGATCGTAAGAGTTATACAAACTAGTCTCAAGAAAAGTTTGGATAAGCAGCTATCACAAAGACTTAACCTAAAATGAAAACTGAGATAAATAAAAAAAAAAAAAGCAGAGAAAAACTGACATTTCCTTCTGACAAAATCAGTTTTTTTTTTTTTTTTAAATCACATACCTTTATATCTTGTTTCATGGAATTAAAGGTAATTACAATCAGGGGATTCAAAACTACTTAACACATTTTCCTTACATTTTTCCTTACATCTGGTTACAGGCAGCTCAGGAGCAAAACCTGAAACATAATTTTTAGGATGACATATCTTCAAATCACAGCAATAGGGGACTAATACAATGACATGAATCTGCATTTTTTAACATGCCATAAAAAGTGTCACATTTCAAATAGCTACAATTCACAAACCTAATCTCTGATTAAGGTGCTTGGCCCCCACAACTGTTGTATGCAGATATTAAACACAGATCATGTTACATTTAAGACAGCTATGACAGGTCAGCGAACAGGTCACATTCATAAGGCATCTAACAACATTTAAACATTTTTTCTACACACATTCTATTATGCATAAAATATTATAAAAAATAATAATAAATCATAAATTGTTTATGATACATTGCAGAAATATATCTATTTAAAATGTAACAATGTAAAGTTCATCAAGGATCTAAAAAGTAAAAACTGGATCTTGCTGGAATTGGGAACTCCTGCACAATACAACATTATTAATTATGTACATGCCCTATTAGTTTCTATATTAAATTTAAAAATTTGAACGAATATTTTTCATGTTTTTTTACACTGATTTTGAGGAAAATTTTGTGGAATGGATTTTAACATGGTAAAATGGAACTGAAGTCATAATCAATTTAGCCAAATTATTTAATAAACAAACACAAAATGGGCAGGGAATACATAGAAATTTATGAATGATGGGCATTCCAGTTCTGAAGAAATCTGTCCATGCAGCCCTGAAGATCCCTGAAGTGTCATGGTGTCAGCGAATAAAATGACTCTGTTTCCCTTTAAGCAAGAGAATCACCTTTACCACGAGATGGGGGGTGTTCATGTGGGCGGGGCTTGTTTTGACCGTGAACATGCTGGAGGTTTTTTTGTGAGGGTCCAGCAAAGCAGGATGTCAAAGACCGTGAGCTGCAGTCACAGGCTCCATCCTGACAAAGAGATGGGAAAGAGTAAGGAGATATGCTCAGCTCAGCATTATAACAAATCATGTGACATTAAGACAAAGACTCTGCAAAATAGTAATAATGTAGATTTTCACTTTTTCTAGTTGTATTTAGTAAAAAAAAAAAAAAAAAAGAGTTCCAATTGTTTGTATGTGATTTGTATTGTTTGTATATCTGATTGTATGTGTGCCATATATTATGTATTATGTATATGTATCTTTGTAAATTACACATAGTCATGTGAACAACCAGTCTGACTCAGGAATCTATACATAACATAGCCACAAAATAACTTGCAGTTTATTGAAGGAGTCAGGTGTGAACTCAATAACAGCTCTGAACAATTTACTGACCGAGCAAGTCTGATTCAGACAGCAAGCTCACAAGTGAGACTGAGGCCATTTCGTGAATTTTTTTGACTGACTTGCTTCATAAGAATCATTTTTTTTTCACGACCAAACCGCATATGGACACAGAATGTTTACTAGAGTGACTAGATTTCAAATGATTGTCACACATTTTAATTTTTGCATTTGTAACCATTTTAGTCAGTTTGGAGCCTTGACATATTACTCTCTTAACACCAAACCTTCAATTTAGTTTTTTCATATTTTTGAATGGATTCAACTTTGCTACT